AAACATAATAAATAATATTATAATTTTTTATTTACGTACTTCTTTGAACATTTAGCAAAATTTTATTAACTTGATTATTAATTCAATTACCACATGGTTTATCTTTAATGTCAATACTTACTTTACTAATTTTACGATTAGTTTTTACCTACAAAATATTTTAGATACTTTTTAATGAATTATAAGATGTTTTAATTTTTTTTTAATTGAAAAAGAGAAATTTTCGATACTTGTATTATATAATATCATATACAAGTATACAGTTTGATTTATGTTATATATACACTGTATGCGTAAGTGATCAGCTGTTCACCTGTTTACCTGTCAAAATATATTTCTCAGTATTTGCATATACAATCTGTGACAGTTTTATCTTCATTATGAAAACGTATGCAAAAAAATTAATATACACACATACCACTAAAATGAAGCATGATTTTTGACAAATAAAAATGTTGCAATAATGATACAAAATTATCTGCCAATTATGGTCGATGACGTAGTATATTAAAATCATTCGAACAAAGAGTTAAACAATGATATTGATACATACAAGAGTTTGATATACTGTTAATCACGTATACCTGGAGACATACTTTGACAACTTTGTTACGTTTCAATAATTTAACTTTACACTACTGTACAGTATAATTAGTTTTTTTACGTAGGTTAACTTTACATAGTGTTGTATTATTGTTTATATCAAAAATTTTTAAAGGATAAAATGGAACATGCGATTACAGGATGGAAACGTTATGCACTGGTACAACCATCTATGATGATGCTAATATTTGCTCAAGCATTATCAAGTAATTATAAAATATTTCATATAGTATACTAGTTTGATATTTATTTATGAAATATATCAAAACAGTCTATCCACATATATATGTAACTTCTTATTCTCCTTGTAAAATAAACCTTTTTTTATGAAAATTGCAATTATTTACTTATACATCTGTTTTTTGATGAATTAACTATTTGTAAAATGAATTATATGATTTTAATTTAAATTTTAGGTAATATTTTCAAAGATTTAATAGTATATCGTACTTGTAGTATAACATTTAGTATAAATAAAACAGAATGTTTGCTATTACATGAAAATAGCAGTTCTAAAGAAGCATTGAAACTAGATGCACTAATTCAACCAAAAGCAACTTTAATTTTAATGACTAAGTCAATCGTTGAAAGTGTTATACCTGCATTGTTGTCTTTGTTTTTGGGACCATGGAGTGATGTATATGGAAGGAAACCTATTATGGTGTTAGGATATATTGGTTAGTATTATATACTTTACAAAATAAAGCTAAATGTAATTAATTTATGATTTGTCTGATAGGTACATCACTGACATATTTGATTGTTTCCTTTATTTCTATTTTTGATATCAGTCCATGGTTTTTATTAATTGCATATATTCCATATGCATGTCTTGGAGGATTTTGCATAATTTTATTGGGTACTATTTGCTATATTACTGATATATCAGATGAGCAAGAAAGAGGATGGCAATTAGCTTACATGCAAGTTTTAATATCTGTTGGTATTTTAACTGGTATATTAGCTGGTCCTGTTATTTTTCAAGCATATGGGTATACAATTGTATTTGCTATTACTACTGTATGTTGCATTTTAGCAAGTTTGCATATTTACTTCTTAGTTCCTGATACTACATACAACACAGATTCAGTAGGTATTTTATTATTTTTGTATAAATACGCTTTTGTTATTAATGTGTATATAATATTTGTAGATGACTTTAAAAAACTTGTTTAATGTACATTTAGTTAAAAAGCTTATCAGTACATGTACCAAAAAAAGAGATGGATTTGATCGAAATATAGTTTGGTGCTGCATAACTTCTATTATTTTAATGGCTACAGTTTTAGAAGGAAATATTACTGTTGAATTTTTATTTACAACTGCTAGACTTGGCTGGGATGTAACTACATTTTCTATTTATGTGGCTACAAATATAATACTTTCAATTCTGGGGATAATTGCAATAAAATTTTTAGTACAATGTGGAGGTATAGATTAAAATTTGTGTACTAAATATGTTTTAAAAATCTGATAAAAACGTTAGGTAAAACAAAATACTTTCATAGGATTTTCTGAAGAGATGGCAGCCATATTGTCATCACTGTCTTCCTTAAGTAGCTGTATAGTGGAAAGTTTAACATTTAAATCTTGGCATATGTATCTATCTGCAGTTGTTGGAATGTTCGGTGGCATTGCTAGTCCTATGATCCGTGCTATATTATCCAAGTCAGTGCCTCCAGAAGATACAGGTAAAGATTATTGAATAATTTTAAATTATACGAATATTATCATTGTTTAATATATTTTGTGCTGTATATATTTATATGCATGGTTTGTGTCATATGATCATCGGTAAATATTTATTACAAAATAATTTTTGCAGGTAAAGTATTTTCTATGACAATATCTATTGAAACATTAACTCCACTTGTGGCGTCTTCTTTATACACCATGATTTACTCATATTTTATGCCACCTATGTATCCATTACCAGTGTGGTTAGTTTCCGGAGTAATTTATATTATTGTGATACTTATTTTAATAAATATACAAATTCGAAACGTAAAATCTAACTCTATAAGATATACACCACTGTCACAAGATGATGAATTATCATCATAATATTTGATAGATATTTATTGTAAAAAAGAGTAATAATGAATGGAAGACCTTAATTGTTGTTTTTCCACTTTAACACAAACATTTAATAATATATATTTTATATACCTTGTTTTTACAATGTATTAATAACATTAAATAAAATATGATTAATTTTAACCAATCCCATTAAGCAATTTATTGAAATACTTATTTACTTACAATTTGTTTTAAAGCAATAATAATTGGAATGCAAATGATTAGTATTAATAAATTTGCGCAAAATTTATAATGCACTAAAATAATCAACATGATCACCAGATTTATACTTATGCTCTTTAAGAACCATTAAAAGACGATTAACTGTTTGTTCACAAGTTAGAACGGTTTTCTTCACTGTCATTTCAGTGAAATTTGCTTTAGTTTCTGGGTCACCATGTTCATTGCAAACTTCATAGAACATATCAGTTTCAACTGGTCCTGGTGCGTAATTTAATACGTCGATTTGTGGGTTTTCTAATGCAAATACCTACACAATACATACATTAGTAAATACACAATAAAAAAAAAACTAAGGACAAACAATTTATATTAGTACAAAATCATTACTTTAAAAAACATTTCACGTGCTGCTTTTCCAGTACAATAGTAAGTCATTAATCTTCCTGGTTGTATGCCAAATAATGAAGTTATATTTATGACTGTTTTTTTAGTATTTGTACTTTCATCAAATATTTTCATAATAACTCCATTCAATACTGCAGGAATGAAAACATTTAAATCATAATAGTCATGCCAGCTCTGTAGATCAGTCAAATTATTTGTGCACTGTGTTGTATTTCCCATTGTACCAACATTATGTACTACAACCACTTGATCAAATTGTTCTAAAACCTTATTCTTCAATGACTGCATTATGAT